AGGCCAGTGGAGGCGCTTCTTGACAATTCCCCATTGAAAGGGCCACCCGACATCCCCTGACCAAACCCAGTACACCACCAGGCAAAATCTACAATTCAGGACAGGCTGGAGGAGAATCCAGGAAAAAGACTGCTGATTTCCTAAAGCTGGATCTTTGCATGGATCCCTGCAGAACCATAGAGGAAAAGATTGGGATGCCCCCACCAAAACCCGGGCCACCTAAGCAGCAGAAAGGAATGGATTTCCCTAATGTCCAAAAGAAGGAAGTGAGTAGGGCTGGAGGAGGGCAAGTTTGGCTTTGGGAAATGGAAAACTCTTAAACAAAATGATGCTTCAGTCACCTTGGGTCCTATCTCCCCTCAAGCTGGGGGCCTATCGAAGGAGATGCCAGGATGGCAGTGCTGTCCAGGAGGTAAGTTCCCAGGTCGGAAGAGAGGCCTAATGACTCTTCTCTGAGTCCAGGCTGTGAGGACTGAGAGATCAAAGACTGAGCAGGTTCTAGAGGGATCCAGGAACCTGCACTTGGCCCAACATTCTGGAAAGAGGAGGGGAAGGGGATAGACATGGCCCAAGAACACCAACTCACTTTTCCTTCCATCCTCACCAACATCCCCTTTTGCATCCCAACACGAATTTTCTCAGACTGTGTGGGAGGGTTCCCCACTCAGACACACTCTTGGATGCTCCCTCATAGGCCTTTTAGGAACCTCTAAGACCCTTCCTGTAATTTCAAAACCCCTTTCTTGCCTGGAAAGCTATGTCCTCTCTCCTCTACTAATCTCTTCCATCCTGCAGCCAGGACTCTGGACAGGAAAGGGCCCCCCAAACTCTGTCAGTCCTACAAGGCCCCAACTCTAGGCCTGAATCCAGACCCCATGGTGGTGAAGCTCTTTGTTCTCCTATAGCCTCAACCCACCCCCTCCTTTTTTTTTTTTAACTGGAATTTCTCCCATAAAAGTGGGGGCAGGAGCTTCAGAACTTCAAGTGTTTCCCCGCACCTTGGGAAATATGGTAGAAACAGAAAAGAAAGGCAGGGAGGGAAATCAATTGATGCCGAATTTCCAGAGGAGGAAGTTTGGGCATCAAATAAGACCCACACACCAATCTCATTTCTTTCATCCTTCTCCCTAGCCTAGAATTCAAGCTACACCCAGCCCTCAAGTGTGTGCATCAGTCTTGACCTTTCCTGCTGAAATTGCTGCCAAGTTTCATCTCTGACTTTGCATTTGTCACAGTGGGCCAGGAATTCAATCGTCCAACTTCAGAAAGACACAGATAGCTGCCTCTTCATTTTTCTAGTATTTTTCTGAGACATGTCTTCATAAGTAGAGGGTAGGATCAGCATGTAAATCAAGTATGCATACAGACAGATAAGCAGGCAAGCAGAAACCTTTATTTATAAAGAGAATTTAGGTAGAGAGCTGGGTATCTCCATGAGCACATGTGAACTGTGTCCATAAGGGTATGTGCTGAAATAGCTCCCGTATATATCCCCAAATTCACAGACACTGAGTGCCTGTGTACATGAGCAAGGAGCAAGCCCTAGAGCCTGAGTATGAGGAGTGTGTGTCACATGCACGAGCATGCACACACACACACACACACACACACACACACAATCAGTGAAAAGGCCCATTGAACTTATCCATTATATAGTGGGTCAGTTGTACCTAGCTGAGAACTTGTTCACCAGAGAAAGCTGAGGGCTGAGTGGCTACTGCTGATATCCCTTTGAAAAGGCAGCCCAAAGCAGAGCCAGGACTTGCTGATGAGACTGAGGGGCCATTTTCCATTTTCCTTTAATATATTTAACGGCTCGATCTTTCTCCCAATACCAGTGGCTCAGCTAGAGACCAGGAAGCCACATTCCTTCTCATTTCTCTTCGTTTTTCTCTAAACCTCATCCATAGTCAAGCCCTACCTCCCCATCCACGAAGACGGCGGGTCGAGGTGAGGGGTGAGCATTGTAGCGGAAGGTTTCAGCGCCCGCCTTTGTAGGGCGGCATAGCTTCGGAGATGTAATTACTACGTTTCCAGTGGTGCATATTCTCCTGGAGTGTTTAATTTGATTTTATTTGTGTCTCAGCGAGATCCACATTTGGCGGGGAGGGGAAAGAAGCGACCCCAGCTTAAAGTTAATTAACCAGCAACGTTTTACTTTACACCGCCCGCCGTCAGGCTCTCCATCCGACTCTCCCTCCCGGGTCTGGCGCGTCCTAGTCGTGGTGCCTGCGTCGGCAGGCGCGGAAAGTCCTGGGGAACCAAATGAAAGGGGTTGGGGTGTCGGTCAGAGCATGCCTGATAGACGTCCCCAGCCGCTTTTGGTGCCCTTAGCCGCGAACTTTCCACTCCAGCCCTCTCCCGCGCCCGCCCCCATGTTGAAGGGTGGGGGTGGGAGTACATATGCATCTGGTCTTCTTGAGAAAGGCGCCTTGGGTTCCCTTGCTTTCTTCTTGCCGCTAAATTTTGGCCGCACAATGCCCCTAATAAATGAAACTGTAAAATTCCCGGGTTAATTAAACCTATATCTCATTGCAATAGGAATAGTTAATGCCCTTATATAAACCTGGAAAAGAACATACTATTAATTTTATTTATTGCTGGGCCGCCCTGTACTCAGACCTTTCCCGCCGTTCTGGCCCTTACTCCTTTGGGTCCTTCTGGCATCAGACTGGACCAGAGAGAGTCCAAGGAAAGGGGCCGAAGCTCCAAGTCCTTTGTTTCTCCTGACGGCCCTACAGAACCAGTCCACTCCTCCTGGATTCTCCAAGTGGATAACTTCACACTGTAGCTAGTGCCTCTGCACCTCCTCTACCACCCACAGGCTGAAAAACGGCATATCTCACTATTCTCCCACCTCCCACTAACCGGGTCTTAGGCAAGGGGCCCAAGGTCTCAGGACTCAGTCTAGTCTTGGCCAACCTGAGTTTGCTTTCCTTGTTTTTACCTTGACCTTGGACTCCAGCGGGAAAGTAGCTAGTTTCTCAGCTAAACACCTTTCCGGCAAGATCCCATCTTCCCCTGGCTTATTTTCTTCCCACCATCATTGCCCTCAACACATACCCAAGCAGGCCTACTTGTGTTTCCAACCTCTTTCTATTGTACTTTTCCACCTACTGCCCCAACCCAGCCTGCTTTCTAAATTCTCGAATGACCCTTCTGGATGAAGACTATGCTGATAAGAATTAACTCACCAATGCATGGGCAGCTCTCAACCATCAAATACCACCTTCCCCTCAAGGGAAGAGGGGGGCGGCTGTGGGGGTCGCAGCGTAAATCCGGAGACCTGGCTATTTACTGTCTAACTTGAGGGTTTGAGGGGTCCAGTAGGTTCGGTTTGGCAGGGATCTGATGCTTGGCGACTGCTTATGCAAACAAGAGCACCCAGCATTTAAAGTCTGTGGCAGAGGCAAGAAAGAGGGAGACATGGAGACATTTCAGCCCCTCTCCCCCATTCCACCCCCTCCCCCCCCCCGTTTATTACCTCTTCTCCTCAGGGAGGCCCTGTGCTGAAAAAGAACTTGGCTCAATTCGCGCAGAGATGTCCCCCGCAAAGGGGTGACTCTATTGAGGCTCCAGACAAGTCAAAGGGCTATGAAGAAAGAAGGGGGGCTTTTGAGAAATCAGTAAGTTGATGTTAGTTTTTCTTTGAAATAGGAGACAGTTTAGGACATAAAAATACTTCACACGATAGGAGTGACCCCGAGAAAACTGTGGGAGCTACAGCGAGGTGTTCAACTGGGGACTGCGTGGAACTGGGCTCTGTCTGGCCTTCACCTTCCAGGATCAGCCAGGCAGCTAAGGATGCCTGGGTACTGTAGGACTGAGGTTGGACCTCCAGTGTCCCCCAGAGTTGTACCTGGGAGTGGTCTCTTCAAGGGGCAGCGCCAATTTTTCCCCATTTTGCACACTTCCTTTAGTACATTTACACAGGCAGGAGAGCTCTCATAGCATCCAATACTTTTTGTCTTCATAGACCGAATTCCGCCTCCCAAATTCTTTTTTTTTTTAAATCTCATTCAGAGGCTTTTATTTCTATTGCATGTTGAAGTATCAGTCTATTCTCTACCCCATTTCCCTCCTTTTATTCTTTCTCTATTTCTCGCTGAGAGTATTCCATCTCTGAACGCTCGTCCAACCCCTATGATGAAGTCTGTGTTTGGGGGCTACCACATTTTCCCAACCCTCTCCACTACCAGCAAAGAGAAAAAAGGATCCTTCCCTGACTGGCGCTTTGGAGTAAGTAACTGAAGGTCCGAAATAGAAACACAATCAGCATCAAAGGCTTGCTGCCTGGCGTCTTCGGTTCTTTCCAGCCGCAAGCTGGAGCGAAGCCTGCCACAGCCGAGCACTCCATCCTGTTTTCTAGTTTCTTCATTTATTATTTTTTTTAAATCCATTTTCGCCCCACTCTTAGCTCCAAGCCTTAATCTAAGGACTTGGCAATCAAAGCGACTGGCTTGGAGGTAGGGGTCTGTCTAGCTGGTGCACATCCAGAGCCTCGGGGGAGGTGCCCAGAGACAGCGCTTTCCTCCCCTGGCCCCTTTGCGTCGGCCAAATTCAGCCGCCCCCTCCTCCCTCTCCAGTTCAGGGCCTGCCAGGGGGGCGTCACCCTGTCCCTTTAAATCTCTCAACTCCCTCCTCCTTTTCCCCTCCTGAGAACCAATCAGCAAAAACCTCGTTTCTTCTCGCCCCGCCCCACCTCGAGGGGAGGGAACCCCTGGAGACTCAGCCAGAGCGTCACGTGCGCCGACCGCCGTCACGTGGGAGCGGGAGGAGTGCTGAGGGGAGGTGGGAGGGAAGCCGGTGGATTTCTTAATGAAGTGTTTCCCGCATGCGTAGAGGGATTGTCTGGAGGGAGGTGGAAGCACCAGGAGGAGGAGGGGTGGGGTGGAGAGGGAAGGGAGGAGGGATGGGGGAGGGAAATAGGGAGCGAGGTGTCTCCCTAGCTCGCTGCCTCTGGCAAGTGGAGTTTTTAAAAAGCTCGAGCAGATCATGTCATGACGACTTCGCTGCTCCTGCATCCACGCTGGCCGGAGAGCCTTATGTACGTCTATGAGGACAGCGCGGCGGAGAGCGGCAGCAGCGGCGGCGGCGGGGGAGGCGGTGGTGCGGGAGGAACGGGGGGCGGCTGCAGCGGAGCCAGCCCCGGCAAAGCCCCAAGCATGGACGGTCTGGGCAGCAGCTGCCCGGCCAGCCACTGCAGCGGCCCCTCCTCACCCGAACATCAGGGCCCTCCAGACCCAGGCGCCCCAACAGTATCCTTTTCACCTTCCTGCCGGCCTTTCGGCTCTTGTTGCCGCAGCCCGGGGGGACCCCGCAGTCCGGGGGGACCCTCTTGCCCGCCGCCACCCTTCAGCCAGGAAAGGGACTGCCGCTCAAGCCCCAGGCACCGGGCTTGGCCAGAGCTTTTGGGGTTCCCCGGCAGCAGCACTGCGGGGCGCACTGGGACCCTCCGCAGTACGGTGAAAACTAGCTCCACTCGGCCATGCTTCTGCTGCCCTTCCCTTTTAGATCTGGGGAACCTTCTCTCT